GGGCCATATCTAACAAAATGAAATTCAATGTAGAGAAAAGTAAAGTCCTACACTTAGGCAAGAGAGACCCAAAGTACACATATAGACTGGGTGAAACCAGGCTCAATAGCAGTAACTGTGAGAGGGATCTTGGAGTCTTAGTGGACAACCAGCTAAATATGAGCCAGCAGTGTGCAGCAGCAGCCAAAAAAGCTAATGCAATCCTAAGTTGTATTAACAGAGGGATACAATCAAGAGCAAGGGAGGTACTAATACCACTATATAAAGCCCTAGTAAGACCACACCTAGAGTACTGCATCCAGTTCTGTTCACCACATTACAATAAAGATGTTGAGACTCTAGAAAAAGTACAGAGAAGAGCAACCAGGATGATTAGGGGACTGGAGACTAAAACATATGAAGAACATTTACAGGAACTAGGCTTGGCTAGTCTAGTGAAGAGAAGGACCAGGGGAGACATGATAGCAGTTTTCCAATATTTGAGGGGTTGCCATAGAGAGGAAGGGGTCAAGCTATTTTCTAAAGTGTCTGTAGGCCAGACAAGGAATAATGGATGGAAACTGAACAAGGAGAGATTTAACCTGGCAATAAGGAGAAACTTTGTGACAGTGAGAACAATCAATCAATGGGACAACTTGCCCTTGGAAATTGTGGGAGCGCCATCACTTGAGACTTTCAAGAAGAGATTGGACTCCTATTTGTCAGAAATGGTGTAGGATCTCCCGCTTGGGTGGGGGGTTGGACTAGATGACCTACAAGGTCCCTTCCAACTCTGATTATCTGTTATCTGATATAGTCAAAGGCTAAAAACCTCCCGTGTGGGAACATGCTTTTAGGAATTGACTAATTAAGTAATTATGTAGCCATCCAATCAGCCTTAGGCAAGGAAGGCCCACTTCTATATCTTCAGTTGCCATGTCATTCTGTAAACAAAGGCTTGGTAATAAGGATGATAGCACTTAGACTTGTATATCTCATGCCATAGTTTTTTACAGCACTCTGAGCAGTTTATAATGTCAGCATATTGCCCCCAACAATCTGGATCCTCATTTTACTGCCCTTGCAAAGAATTGATCCATTGTCAAGGTTGAACTCCAGGCTGTGGGCAGAGTTATTGTGCAATATTGCATTCTAACACATTCCATGTCTACACGTATTGTTGCAACAACTTTCAAGTTAGCACGCCTTTGAGCTATTATGGCTATAATTCTGTAAAATTCCAAAAAGCCATTATAATGCAGCAAAGAAATATGGAACATTCTAAATTTTTGTAGTACTAGTCTCAATGTTGATGGAGGACCATAAGGGTCTGACAGGTCATAATGGAGGCCACAATCTTCTAAAACAGGATTTCCTAAACTTGGCAACTTTAAAACATATGCAATTCAATTCCCAGATTCACCAATTCTTCTCAATTCCCAGAATTCCCCAAACAGCAATACTAAGAAATTCTGGGAGATGAAGTCCATATGTCTCAATGTTGCTAACCCTGTTGGAAACCCTGTTTTAAAACCAATATGTTGCACCATTGCATCTAATCCTAAAAACACTTTTGCAATCTTGAATACAGGCTATCTCCCATAATTATGAATATGAGAAGTATTGTTTTGATGGATGGCTGAAATATTTCAAACAAGCTCTCTGAAAATCCATATGAATGGTAACTTTCTTGCATGGATTGCAGCATTCAAACAAGTAAAACTATTACTAGGCGATCAATGTACCAAAGCTAGTTACTGTTCTGTCTACATACATAATACCAGTTCCCAGGAGATCTGGCAATCTTTCAATCTTTTTGTGTTTTTTTACATTACTTAATCTGAGAAATTTTAGGAATGTAGGGGGCTGTTTTAATCAAAACAATTAACTCTGCAGAATGAAAATGTTCATTATAAGCACATGATGGAGAGTAGTGTTTCATATATGTGGAGAAGCATTGCAGTTTCTTGCACCACACCCTGAATTGTGCAAGGCAGCCATCAATGTTCCTTCACCTTATATCCCCTGTAAAAACAAAACTACAACTGCCACAACTTTCTGTCTGCTAGCTGCCTTTGATGAAAAGGTTTGTGCCTGACATCTGGCTAGGTTAATGTTAGAATGAATTCCAGGTCCCTCCATTTGTCCTGACAACAGATGCATAAACATTTCTCAGATGAATGGGAGGTGAGGGAAAGGCTATAATTCTTCAAAACACTTCAGGAAATATTTGTAGCTATGCTTCTGGACTTGATTTATATTACTTTTTTTCTTTCTTTCTATGTCTGCAATGCATACCATTGCTGACTCACATCTTAAATTCAGGTCAAGAATTTCAGATAAAAGCCTAGATAGTTTGGATGCAATATATGGTTTGTTCCAGGGTTCCAAATTATCTTGGGTGAAACTGCCAAAAGTTTAACACATATATGTTGCAATTACAGTATCAAATTATATTATATAAGGGACTGCCAAAAAGAAGAGGGGATATTCTCCAAAGCTCCTGAAAGCGGACAAGAAGACATGGATGGAAACTAATCAAGGAGAAAAGCAACTTAGAACTAAGGAGAAATTTCCTGTTAGAACAATTAGTGGAAGGATTTGCCTGCAGAAGCTGTGAGTGCTCCATCACTGGAGGTTTTCAAGAAGAGTTTGGATAACCATTTGACTGCATTGGTATAGGATTTTCTGCCTGAGGGTTGGAGTAGAAGACACCCAAGGCAGTGGGATTAAAAAAATTTTTACTACTGGTTCTGTGAGCATGGCTTCCTGGGCGTGCCTTGGCTTGGTGGGCGTGGCTTGGTGGGTGTGGCAGGGGAAGGTTACTGCAAAATCCCATTCCTTCCCCACTCCACTAACCTGCTTCCCAGCTCCGTTCTCCAGTGCAGGGCAACAAAAGAAGACCCAGCCAATCAGCTGGGATTCGGGAGGCAGAGAATAGATGGGGGCAGGGCTAGTCAGAGCTGGTATTTGGCAGTTCTCCTCAACTACTCAAACTGGTTCTCTAGAACTGGCCAGAACCTGCTGAATACCACCTCTGTTCCAAGGTCTCTTCCAATTCTATTATTCTGTGATATTACAGGCCCACCAAAAACAATACCAGTAGTCCACAACTTACAACCATTTGTTTCGCCAATATTCGTGTTGCAACAAAAAGTGTAACTTATGACTGGTCCTAAGTTGCAGCAATCCCCCAATGTCATGTGATCAAAATTCAGGCACTTGGCAACCGGCATGAATTTACAATGGTTGCAGCATCCCAGGGCCATGTGATCATCACTCATAACTTTCCTGACTGGGTTCTGACCTGCAAAGTCAAGGTACAGGGGAGGTATAAAGCTGGATTGGCTTAATGACCACATTATTCATTTAACAACTAGTGATTCACTTAATCATAGCAAAACATTAAATATAATTGGGCGCAATTCAATTAACTTGCTTAGCAATGGAAATTCTGGTCCAAATTGTGGTCATAAGCCAAGGACTCAGTGGTGGGTTGCTGCCGGTTCGCATGGGCTCACCTGTAGTTACGACCATTGGTTGGGCCTGCCCAGGTGCTATCCTGTCCTATATATTTAACCTTTTTGCTAGCTGACCAGCTGCTTTCAGCGCCTTGCCAGATCTACTCACCCTGGCTGTCCTGCACAGGAAATCACCTTGGTTTTGCAGTGCCATCACTCACATTTTTGGCAAACCGGTTGTTAAAAGTATGTGCAGCCCACCTCTGCAAGGACTACTTATATCCACTTTATCATGCTCATTCATGCCTGGGGTTTTCTTCTCTCCCACTATCTCTATCCAGAGCTAGAAGAAAGTGAAGGGCTAGCACTCAGACCTACGGCAATGAAGACTTTTCAAGTACAGAGAGAAGATAAGTGTGGAATTAGGATCAAGCAATGACATTGTTATCATGAACCACTCTGTGTAGATAATATAATAAATGATTGTTTGGGGAAAAAACACCTACATGAACTTGTTCTGCCTGACTAACTTAACTTCTGCACATCTGCACATTGTGCTACTAAGGCAAACTGTATCGTGGTTTGTTCACTTTTGACCTGAAAAGCAGCTACAACTCATTCCCTGAAGTGCTTCACTCTAAAGCTTCCATTAAGCAGAAAGTTTTCACACAGTCTGTTGAATATTTTTGCACAAGGCAACTTAATTTGTAAAATGCTGTTTAAAAAGCAGGGGCTGCCTGCATTGTTTCTGGAAGCAGCTTTTAAGAGCCTCCGCTTCCCTTACAAGATCAAAGAGAAGCAACCTCCTGACGTTTTTAAAGCCCCAATGGCTTACCAGGTATCCCGAGTTCATTGTGGTTTGAAATCATGGCTTAGCAGGTGTAGCTGTGGTTTATTCGTCAAGCCATAATAAACAACTCCCACACTTTGGCAGTATTTGAACCACAAAGCTTGTGTAGATAACGGCAACAGCAGCCATTCAAATTAGCCCAGGGTTCATTCTTTGGCTGAGAAAGTTTGGGGGCAGAGTGGAGAAAGTAGATAAAATCACGAATAATCGGTTTTCACGCGGTTATGAAACCAATGGATCCCAAATCAGAAAAAAAAGGAACAAAAGATGCGAAAAACACCGTAATAGCTCATATTCTTCTAACGTTATATTTCGCCAACCATTTTGGTCCTTTCCTTTCTCTCCTTCCCCATTAAGGATCCCGTTAAGGCGCGTGAAAAGAGGGAGAAAGAACATTACACGCCTGGGATTCTCCTCAGCGGCCTCCCGAAAATAGGTTTCCCTCCACAATACCCCAACGCGCAAGCGCGCTCCTGAGAGTCCACCAGCTCGCCAGGTGCGGGGCGCGTGCCTGTGGCGCTTTTTCGCACCTGTTCCTTGCGCCCCTCCCTCCCCCCGCCGCGCCCGCGCGCGCCGCTCTCCTCGGAGCCGGAGCCGCTCTCCCGGGGCGAGGCGAGGGGCGGCGCACCCCGCTACCTGAGCGAGTGACGTGGGCGCTTCCTGGCAAGGGGATGGGCTTCCTCTTGTCAGAGGTGCCAGGGAGGGACGTCGAGGGAGGTGTGTGTGTGTGTGTGTTTTCCTTCCTTCCTTCTCTTTCTCTCGGAGAGTCCAAACTGGACCTGCCTCCGCTTCGCTTCGCCTCCTCCCGCCTCCCGGGTTCTCCTCTGGCGGAGAAGGCGAACCTCCTTACGCGAGGACACGAAAGAACGAGGAGGAGAGGAAAGTTGGAAAACTTGTTCGTCAACTCCGCCGGCTGTGCAGCCGCTGGTGGCCGCGGAGAGCGAAAAAAGAGAGTGAGGGAGAGCGCGCGGGCGCGCCTGAAAATAAAGAGCATGAAAGCCAACTGAGCGACGGGTCGCAGAGGGGGGTTCCGCTTGGAGGCGCCGGGGGTGGTAAGCGAAGGGACGGCAAGGGGTTGTGGGGTTGGGGTAGGGAAGGAGGGATGCCGCGGATCGGGCGGGGAGGGGAGCCCCGGAAGGCTTACCCGGGGCTTTGTTCTCACCTGACAGTCCGCTGAACGCGCCGCTGCCTTGCGGTCGCGCTCCGTTTCTCCAGACGAACCTGTCGCCAGACTGGACTACAAGTCCCACCTTCCCCGCTGCCCACCAGTGCGACAGACGTTACTAGGGAAGCATCTGGCGGGCACCAGGTTGGCGAGGGTTCTGGGCAGCAAGGGGGGCATGAGGGGCTGACTTGAGGGGGTTGCTGGTGGCTGAGGGTCTCTCCTGCCCCCCTCCCTTCTCAGATTTTTCATACCTATAATGTTTTTGTCATGTTTTGGGCATGTGTTGGGGTGGATTTGTGCAGGCAAAATTGTGCCCCATTGAACATGTGATGGACAACTTGAACTTTGGCCTTGAACTAGTAACTTTGTGCTAAGTGCAGATAAGAGTGCAGGTGTGAATTATCTGACATAACAGATAATAGATAATCAAGAGTTGGAAGGGATGTTGTGGGTCATCTAGTCCAACCCCCCCCCCCCTCGCCAAGCAGGAGACCCTACACCATTTCAAACAAATGGGAGTCCAATCTCTTCTTGAAAGCCTCCAGTGATGATGCTCCCACAACTTCCAAGGGCAAGCTTGTCCCACTGGTTGATTGTTCTCACTGTCACAAAGTTTCTCCTTATTGCCAGGTTAAATCTCCCCTTGTTCAATTTCCATCCATTATTCCTTGTCTGGCCTACAGGCGCTTTAGAAAATAGCTTGACCCCTTCCTCCCTGTGGCAGCCCCTCAAATATTGGAAAACTGCTATCATGTCTCCCCTGGTCCTTCTCTTCACTAGACTAGCCAAGCCTAGTTCCTGTAAATGTTCTTCATATGTTTTAGTCTCCAGTCCCCTAATCATCCTGGTTGCTCTTCTCTATACTTTTTCTAGAGTCTCAACATCTTTTTTGTAATGTGGTGAACAGAACTGGATGCAGTACTCTAGGTGTAGTCTTATTAGGGCTTTATAGAGTGGTATTAGTACCTCCCTTGCTCTTGATTGTATCCCTCTGTTAATACAATTTAGGATTGCATTAGCTTTTTTGGCTGCTGCTGCACACTGCTGGCTCATATTTAGCTGGTTGTCCACTAAGACTCCAAGATCCCTCTCACAGTTACTGCTATTGAGCCTGGTTTCACCCAGTCTATATGTGTACTTTGGGTCTCTCTTGCCTAAGTGTAGGACTTTACTTTTCTCTACATTGAATTTCATTTTGTTAGATATGGCCCAGTGTTCTAGTCTGTCAAGATCCATCTGGATCTTGAGCCTATCTTCTTGGGTGTTAGGATAATCATTCCATTCATCTAGATCTCCAGGTCGAGTTGGAAAACTTAACTCTTTAAAGGACTTGCAAAAAGGCTGAAGGGGTTGGGAATAATCCAGATCCTGGGGATTTATTTATTCAGTGTATGGCATATCATGCACAGACTAATAATATATGCTAACATTTAACCTAGATTAGTAAAACACAATAACATATAAGTGTTAAAAAGATGAGGGTGAAGGTTCATTCTCTGAGCTTGTGGGTTGGTTTCCAAACATTTCGTTACCAGGGTAGGTAACATCTTCAACAGAGTTTAGGGGGTTTCGGTTGTCCTTCCATTTATAAGGGCTTTGGGTGTGGGTGTGTCCAGTGAGGGTCTTGTAATGGATTAGCTATGAGTCATCAGTGAGAAACTTGCAATAGGTCTTGTGATAAGGAGATTACATCAGATCAGGGTCATTGAACTGGTGGTGGCGGGGTTGCGTGGATTGGTTGAAAGTCTGTCTCTGATTGGCTGTGCAGTTGATTTAGGATTCTGAGGGTTTGTAGACTGGCTGTAGGTCAATATGTCTGTTTATTTTTTATTTATTTTATTTGTTTATCAAACATGTACAAGATAACAAGTATAGGTATGAACATAAAAATGAACAAAGGAAGTAAATACAGATAAATGGGGACAGTAAGACAGGGACAGTAGGCACGCTGGTGCGCTTAGGCACGCCCCTTTAAGGACCTCATAAGAATAGGGTGAGGTCCACAGTAGACAGTGTGAGGTTGAAGCTGTGAGGGGTTGAGACTGTAATCAGGTAGGGCGTTCCAGGCGTTGACCACTCTGTTGCTGAAATCATATTTTCTGCAATCGAGTTTGGAGCGGTTTACCTTGAGTTTGTATCTATTGTTTGCTCTTGTATTGTTATGGTTGAAGCTGAAGTATTAATTGACAGGAAAAATGTTGATGGAATTGTTTGTGGAGTATTAAAAAGATGTATGTTCAAATACCATTGTCTAGCCTGGGTTTGCCAACCTTTTGGACCTCGGGGACCACCAAACTCATAATTTTAGATCCCAGGGACCACTAACCAGTTCTGTGGGTGTGGCCTAATTTGTAGGTGTGGCTTGGTTGGACATGGCTTGTATATAAATATTATAAATATTTATATAAATATTGAATTTTTTATAAAAAAAGAGCAACTTTTACCCAAAATCAGGCAAAGCAGGCAGGCAGATTGAGTTGCTTGCAGAATCACAGATTCATTCAGAAATCTATCTATCTGCCATTGGCTAGCTCAGTCTGTCACATAAAATTTGCTTGCAAGCAAACTCATAAAATTTGCTAGCAAGCAAACTCACAAAATTAACTCACAACACACCATGTGTGTAAATATTGAATTTTTTTTATTTTAAAAAAGCAATTTTTACCGAAAATCAGGCAAAGCAGGCAGATTGAGTTGCTCACAGAATCATTCAGTGATCTATCTGCCATCGGATAGCTCAGTCGCTCAAATTTGCTTGCCGTGTGTCTTCGCTGAATTTGCTTGCAAACAAACGTTCAGTCCTAAGGGAAGCAGAGCTGAAGATCTAAAGACTAGCTAGAAAGCAAGAAATCCAACCACTTACTGCTTCCTAGCTAATCTAAATCTCCTGGCAGAGCAGAACAGATGATGGTCGGAAAAAGGAAAAATAGAAATTTTAGCAGGCAAGTTTGCCAGGTAAGGAGTGAGTGGGCGGGGAAGGTTCCTGCAGGCCATGTGGGTGGCGCAGCCTTGTGTTTCTGCCCAGCCTGGATTCATTGCTTTCGGGGGGGGGGCTCGGGGGGTGAGATTTCTCTGCGGCCCACTAAAATTTTCTCACGGCCCACCAGTGGGCCAAGCCCACCGGTTGGCAACCGCTGGTCTAGCCTATCTAACTACTGAAGCGTAGCAACTAGTTAGTATAGTTAGTTTATGACTCACTGCGCTGTGGGGATCCAATTAGATGAATATAATAGTAGGAGTTAGCTCACTGGGATAGCATATTGGGCAATTTACATGTTGCTTTTCATTTTGGGAAGAAACCCCCTGCAGTCTATATCAAGGGTCTCCAACCTTGACAACTTTAAGCCTGGCGGACTTCAACTCCCAGAATTACCCAGACAGCTGTCTGGGGAATTCTGGGAGTTGAAGTCCTCCAAGTTTAAAGTTGCCATGGTTGGAGACCCCTGGTCTATATCGCAAGAGTTGGTCCTTTCCAACAACCATCTGACTCTCTGCCTACCCAAATCTTCATTTGGAATGAAGATGTTACTTGTATGAGTAACAAAATGTCTCAGTTTTAATAAACTGTGATCCAGTTGCCATGATTTAACCCTTTTAAGATATTGAAGTGCAGCATTGCTTATATTTTAAAAAAAATCAGGTGACGGTATATGCCTTCAGACGGTTACAATGTCATCTACAGTTTGATGTGGGACCCCTCAGTCACACCGAGGGGAGATACTATGCCCCACTCATACGGAATTCCAGCAGACGCTATGTGAGGTGCGAATCCTATTCAAGATTGTCTGTTGCTGACATGATAGTTCAAAGCCTGACACTCTTTTGTGGGTCATTTATATGTCTTCCTATGTTTGGGCGTTCAGTGAGCTTTCCATTGGGAATCGATGTTAAAGTTGTGCAGATGTTGCGCAAGTGATTTTGGGGATAATCCAAGGAGATTTAATTCAGTTAATTAAGAGCACAGATACATTTTTGCCCATTGCTTTCGAGTTTTCCCCACTTAGGTTGAATCCATATGACACAGTAGGGTGGGCTTGGTTTGAGGTTCATTCATTATACTATTTGAAACTACTTGGCGTGGTTAATTGATGGCTCAGTGGGCTGTGGGGATCCAGTCAGATGAATATAATGGTGAGATTTAGCAAACAGTGGGTTAGCATATTGGACAAGCAAATCTTTTGCTTTTAATAGTTTGTATTAAAAGAGTTTGCATGTATAATGTGAAATACATTGAAAGAAAAAATATAGCAAATGTGGAAGAGAAAAAAAGGAAAAGACACCAAGGGAAAAAAAAGATAAGAAAAAGAAAAGATGAAAAAATATATAAACAGTTGGCTTTTGAACTTACTCTTGAATTGTATCCTCACATACAATTCCAGAAATTGTTGGTTATTAGTATGAAAAATTTGAATTGTATATTATTTCAAGATATTTATCTATCCTCTATCTATCGCCCATCTCGTTTTGAAGCAACTTTAAAGTTAAGACATGGAACAAAATTAAGGAGGATATGTTAAGATGGGAGAAATTAAAATTATAACTGTTGGGGAAATTTTTTATGATAAAATGGTGCTTTTGTTTCAGACAATAACTGTTTTGACAATTGAACCATTCAAGCAAGGGCAAACACAATATTAATAATATAGGACACGTAAACATTTCAAGGATGCACAAAGCTCTTTTCCCAGGACTCAGTAAAAAGTATTCTCTCATCTTCTACCCCTCATCCTTCATTTAATGAATTCATGCACAGACTGGGTTTTTTTTATTGCTGGTTTTATTAACTTAGCTTTTTATGTTTTGATTATGTTCAGTTTTTAAAAATGTTGTGAATAGAAGTCATGAAAGAACAGCATTAGAAACTTTCTAAGTACGGGTAGCATATCT